TAACACCGTGTCTCCTTAAGAATCTCACCCCACTTCCGTGCTTCCACACCTCCGAGATCCAATTAACGGACAAGAACTAGTGGAAAGACCATTTCAGAGGAGTCAAGAGTGTCATCATACTACAGATCTGCGACCTAGGAAAAAGAAAGGTATTTATCAACCGCGATTCAGTTGTAAAAACTCTCTCTCTCGAACGGAATAGTATAATTAAGTCCGCTAATATGCCGATATCTGTATTTTCTTTGTTTATTATTAAAATTGATTTTTTGTTAGAACATATGGAGTCCGAGTGAGTCACTTCCTCGTCTCTCTCCTCACCTCTACTCCGAATCCAAGCGCTCACACGCTACCGCTCGCGAATCTCGTGACATAAAGTCGCGATTTCCGAGTCCCCTAGAGACTCGGTGGTGTCATCCTGACAGGGCGCCGAAGAGGTGCCGACCCTATGGTCACATTTGAGAGCACTATGTTAGCCTCTTTATTCCACCGTCACTAGACACAAGTTCGTCTAGTGACGGTGGAATATTCCTAGACACAAGTTCATCTTGTGTCTAAGAATAAAGAGTCCAACATAGTGCTCACAAGCATTTATGCCAAGACTAGACAAAAAACATACTATAGTATTTTGATAATCTGTTTTTTTTACACATTCGGGAAACAAAACAAAGCAACATGGAAGAGTTGACTAATTTTGAGGTTCTTTCTCATTATATGAAGACACTTAAAAATATTAAACGTCTTGCGAGTGATTCTTCTATTAAGTCTATATAGAATTTTTGAGAGAAATTTTGCATAAGTCATGAAGTGTTTTGTTTGTGATCGAAGTTTAAAGCAACCGCACGACTAAACACGACTTTTTGCAAATATGTACGACTCGGCAAGGCCGATGTGACGAAGCCAGAAATTTGATCAATGGGCAGAGATATTCGAGGTTCGTCATGGGCTTACCTGTTGTAAGGCTGGTCGTGCGCCACGTATCCATCGTGTTTTCGATCGCTGTCAATTTACATTGTTCTCTACGAGGATTTTTATTTAACACGCACCTGCAATCGAACATGTGCCGTTTTTTAAACGGTTGCTGAAGTTGGTAGGCCGCTTGGTGGCAAACATGGTTGTTTTAAACGTTTCTTACCGTTTTTGTCGGTTATGCATGTCTTCTCCCAGATCATGGGTTTTCTAAATTATGTTAAAAACAAATGTGGTGTTTTAAACTGCTTCTGTGTGAAGCTGAAACAGAAAAATTTACACAGTTGAGCTGAGTTTCGTATCCCTAGAATTTTTTTTTAACTCGTTCCGCCCTGTAGGCACTAAGAGGGCCTCTTAAAGCAAGCCCATTATGAGTTCGGCCAGGCCCACAAGGGAAGACTGGGTGGTGAGGGACAGGGCCCAACATATCCAAACAGACCACCCCCAAAAAAAATTCCTGGGGATTTTTCGACCCGTCCGGATTTGATTCCGAGTTTGATTTGATTCCGCGCCGTCACGACTTACCTGCCGTGTGACAACCGTCCCCACTTGGTACAACAGGTCCCTATCACGTTCAATCCGTACCTAAAAATGCTATATACCGAGATCGCCAAGAAACGCCGTATTCAGATCATGTCAGATGATGTCCAATCATCTTTGACATCCTCCGCAAAGGGAAAGACCCCCCAACCAGAACAGACTCCCTATCAAATCTTATCCTCATTAGGGACAAGATTTGTTTAGGGACCTCGTTTTCATCGGATCCACCAAACGCTCCTTGGAGGTCAGAGTACAGGAGCATATAGAGGACATAAATCATAAGATAAATACTACCGCCCTCGCCACATCCGGACATTGTGGTGGCCTTCCACCAGGCGAAGCTCGTCCGTACTACGTCACATGCCGAACACCTTAAGTGACGAGAGGCCATTCACATTTATAAATCGATCCTCAATGACAACTGCATCAATTATAAAGATGAGTTGGTTCTGTCTCTGGCCTGGCAGGCGTTGATGGACTCCGGACTTTAAGCGTCATATGTGATCCATACGAATCCGCATGCGCGTCTCATATAACACCTCCGAATGTTTCTCAAATTTCTTAAACCGTTCGCTCTGATCCACCAGAAATTCCGTTTTACACCTGAAGAACAACTTGCAGCAGTTCGAAAACATTTGTGGTGAACTTTATCTTTTTTTTTTTTTTCGTCACACCGGATTTAGGTTCTCCGAGTATGTTATTTAACACATCCGGGTGTTTTGTGGTGTAGTTTAGTATATATTTATATAATTAATGTTGACTTTAAATAAAATTTCATTAAGGACTAAAAGCAAGATTATTCAGTATCATTAATTGTAAATAAGTTTATAAATTTATTCATTCAAATACCATGCATTAAATGCAACATCTTAACATCGTTCTTGTGCAAATAATTTGCTTAATTGCTTTCAAATTTACACAGAACACAATATAGATATTTGAAAAAGATGAAAAATTCTCATTGATATGTTTGCATATCCTGACACTATTATTCTTCAGTTTAAAGTTAATTAAAATATTTAACACTAAAATGTATTATTTCAATATAATTATTTCAAAAAGTAATAAGTGTTAAAAGTGAAGTTCAAAGATAAGTAGAAATATGTTACAATATTTAATTGATATCTCATTTTAATTATGATATACTGTACTAATAGAGCAGGGAGTCAAAGTAAGAATCTAAAATTTTCTATGATGACTTGCAAATCTTTTTTTTTAATCTTACAAGTTAGTGTGTTATTACCATTAAATTGTATTTCTAAACAGATTCAATGTTATAAACTGTAAACTGAGGTTCTATGAGAAAGAAGAGTAATTTTTCTCTGAACCATAAGTTAAAAACAAATTATAAAAGTGAAGCAATTTATCATAACATAGAACTGAAAAATATAAAAAAAATACTTTTCTTAATTGGAATATTTAACTTAAAATATTAATGTGAAGAAATAAATCATTTCAGTAATGTCCAGTTTCAGTAATGCTTAATTTAAATTAACTGATTATAATTTGCTTAAAATTAATATCTAGATCAGGGGTGGCCAACCTTTTGCATACCATGCGCCAATTTTTTGATAGATGAGTTCAGATGCGCAGTGGCGTACCGTGGGTGTTAGCCGCCCGGGGCGGAAAAAAATTTCGGCCACCCCTTAATTAGGTATTTCAATTTATAAGACGAAAATTCAGTTATGCCACAGAACAAGCAATAAAAAATGCGGTTGTAGTGTAGTTACCCGTATAAAATAGTTCTATACGATATTAGTGGTGTACATGAACACGAATGTATCATGTATCGTACAGGCAAAATAAAATAAAAAAAAGCTCAACAGGTGTCGCAGGAACTACTCGGGAAAAGAAGTCCAATCCGATTCCCGGACTGTCCGGACGGTAATCGGATTGGACTTCTTTTCCCGCGTGGGACGTTATCACTGTCATTATCGTGGGACGTTAGCACTGTCATTTAGACACCTGTAAAGTGATCGAAAATAAACATGCATGNTTAACTTAAAATATTAATGTGAAGAAATAAATAATTTCAGTAATGTCCAGTTTCAGTAATATTTTATTTAAATTAACTGATTATAATTTGCTTAAAAGCTTCAACATTAAATTTAATTAAATAAAACTATTTCTGTTCACATTTCAAAATTCTATGCATATTTTTGAAAAAACTACAAAATTGTGAAACAAACATTTATTCAGTTAAAACAGCTGTAAAAAACTCTTCATTTTTCATATTCTTTAAAAAAATTTTTTTCTGTGAAGAAAAAACCACCACCTTAAATTTCCAGTTTTAATATATCAATGCACTGAAATTGTGTGCTGTTTTATAACATTCCACTCGAATGACTAGTAGTATTATTCTATGAAGAAATTAACAATAAATTTAAAAAAAAATCAGTAAACATTTGTTTTAGTTTTCATAATGATTGAATATCTACTATATTATTTAAATTTATGTCAATGTAACTGATTCATGGTTATTAGTTTTCAGGCAAAATATCATAAAAGCAATTTAAGACATTTTTAAAATTTTTGCTGTATATTTATTTCAGATTATTTTTAAAATGAATGTAATCTGTTCAGTGTGGGGATTTTTTGAATTAGTTATTTTCTTAGAGCACTTGGAAATGCCTCCCAAAATTTTATAATTTCTGCTTTTATATATATAAATCACAAAGATGCTTTGAATAACAGTAGTTTAATTATGATATATTTAAGAACAATAAAATGCTATAACAAAGATTATATGTCAAATTAATCTTGATTCATCTGATTTTGCATTAAGTAAATAAAAACAAATTCTCATTTCAGGAGTTAGAGTTTCTTTTTATATTAATTTTTTAATTTCCTGAGTAAAATAATTATTTTATTTAAAAAAATATCAAATTTTTATCAATTTCATATGATACAATAAATCTTCATTTCCTGTGAAAGATATAGAACCAATTAAGTTATTTAGCTATATTTTTTGATTTCAGAAATGAAAGAATATTAAAATATTTTGAAAATCAATTTACCTAATTCTAGTAGCCTTTATTCCAGTCAACAGTATATAGCAGTTCTCTTCCAGAAATGAATCTTTTATAATTTTCTTTAAAACATTCAGCAACCTAAAAGTATTTTTTTAAAAATTCATAAAAATAGAACTGAAAAATAAAAAAAAAATACTTTCTTAATTGGAATATTTAACTTAAAATATTAATGTGAAGAAATAAATCATTTCAGTAATGTCCAGTTTCAGTAATGCTTAATTTAAATTAACTGATTATAATTTGCTTAAAATTAATATCTAGATCAGGGGTGGCCAACCTTTTGCATACCATGCGCCAATTTTTTGATAGATGAGTTCAGATGCGCAGTGGCGTACCGTGGGTGTTAGCCGCCCGGGGCGGAAAAAAATTTCGGCCACCCCTTAATTAGGTATTTCAATTTATAAGACGAAAATTCAGTTATGCCACAGAACAAGCAATAAAAAAATGCGGTTGTAGTGTAGTTACCCGTATAAAATAGTTCTATACGATATTAGTGGTGTACATGAACACGAATGTATCGTGTATCGTACAGGCAAAATAAAATAAAAAAAAGCTCAACAGGTGTCGCAGGAACTACTCGGGAAAAGAAGTCCAATCCGATTCCCGGACTGTCCGGACGGTAATCGGATTGGACTTCTTTTCCCGCGTGGGACGTTATCACTGTCATTATCGTGGGACGTTAGCACTGTCATTTAGACACCTGTAAAGTGATCGAAAATAAACATGCATGCATACACTGTAATTTACTATGTGGAGAACACTCATTTTATCTGTAAAGTTGATTGCAACGAATTGTGCAACAAATGAACTTGCCAAGACAGACTATAAAAAATTAATTTTCTATGTAATATTCTTAATTGCAAAGAAGCCAAATCTGGCAATGTTGCTCAGAACTGACTGAAGCGCCACTTGTAATCGTCCAATGCGCCAAGTTTGGTGCATGCGCCACGTTTTGGCCATCCCTGATCTAGATGGTTCTTCAATTTAAAAATTGAAAACCACCTTTAATTACATTTAATATATTTCTTGTTTCTGTTATTCGTGTTAAAAACTTAAATGATTTAAGAATTAACCACTCTAACACATGGTCAATTAGATTATTTCAGAATGTTTTTTAAAAATTGCAGATGAATTCAATTTGTCAACTGAAAAATTGGTGATGAAATGTATACATGGAATCAGAATCAAGAATCTTATGCTGATAAATTTAAAAATTACAACAACAGTTATTTATTGTTGCTATTTAAGTAATATTAATTTTGCCTTTGTTTAATTCTAATTACTCTTCATTCTTTATTTTAATATATAAATTTAACATCATTACTCTCTATTTCATGAAAATTATTATAGTTTTAAAATTATTTCTGCAAATTATTTGACTGGCCAACTTCAAAAATTGAAGTTGCACAAACTTTGAGAATCTTGACTGCCTTCAAACTTATTGCCCAATTTCAAAAGATAAATTCTTCCTAAAATGCCCTCCAGTTTCTAAGTATGGCAGTGTTTCTTTATGCAGTGTTGCAATGTAGTGAACTGTTTTTAAATGTTTGCTGCAAGAGGTCACTGCAGCGAAGATAAAGCAGCTTTTACGTCCGCTACATGTTTAAAGCAAAATGGATACTTGTGTGTATAATATGATATTATGCTGTAAAAATAAAAAAGTTAAAGTGACTGTTGAAAAAAATATTATGGAAAGATTAAGAAGGATTAAATTTTATAAAATGACTGAAAGTTATCTAAAGAATAAGAAAATACTATATTTTAAATATAGTTATATATCTTCTCTCTCTCTACTCTGTTCACATTTTTGGAAAGATAAATGCTCAATTCGTTATCTCTTTATTTAAATATTATAGTTCTTTAATTAAAGCACTACTTTCGGCTGTAACTGGAATTAAAGGAATTATGGTGTCCATGTTTCACTTGAGCAGAAAGAATTTCTAAACTGATGCAGTGACTTGTAGCGATAGCTGCTTGTGATGTCATTTTTCACTACACTCTCGCTGCATAAGGAAACGCAGCCAATTGTACATACGATTCAAATAGTTGGCTCCTGTAAGTAATAATTTTTCAAATCTATCAGTTGCTAACAAAATGAATATATGGTAGGCAGTCAAATGTGAATTTTGTAATTAATAAAATGTTAAAAAATTAATATCAAAGTAGATCATTTATATTACACACAGTAAAACATTAGTTTAGCAGACACACCGTACTTGAGTAAACAAAATGTTCAGTTTTGGCATAGTAATGGCACTATTGATTTTGTTTTTTATTTTAAGTGGATATGGCCTCTGAGGGTGAACAAACCAAAATTTCTCCGTTCTTCAAAATCTCTAATAAGCTGACAATATCCTGGATTGAATATTTCTCAAGAAAAGCATGACATTTTTAAGATAATATTCTTTGTTACCATTCATTGTTTTATAGAATTTTTCTGTGTTCTTAAATTTGTCGAATAAAGTTTACATAATTTCATTTTAAAATAGTACTCTGACAATTTGCATGTAAAAACATGGTAGATTGATACCAGCATTTATCCTTGCATAATGGAAGGAAAGAATGAAGCAACTTAGAGAAATTTGGAGGAAATAGTAAAATCAAATGAATTATGTATTAAAATACTTATCTAGAGAACATAATGTATTTGCTATATCAGATAGGGTAAACTAACTTGCCTGGCTTAGAATAATTTAGAGTTTGGATTCCCATTCCAGGCTATATAGCAGGGGTGGCCAAACCGTGGCGCATGTGCCAAACTTGGCGCATTGGACGATTACAAGTGGCGCTTTAGTCAGTTCTGAGCAACATTGCCAGATTTGGCTTCTTTGCAATTAAGAATATTACATAGAAAATTAATTTTTTATAGTCTGTCTTGGCAAGTTCATTTGTTGCCCAATTCGTTGCAATCAACTTTACAGATAAAATGAGTGTTCTCCACATAGTAAATTACAGTGTATATACATGCATGTTTATTTTCGATCACTTTACAGGTGTCTAAATGACAGTGCTAACGTCCCACGATAATGACAGTGATAACGTCCCACGCGGGAAAAGAAGTCCAATCCGATTACCGTCCGGACAGTCCGGGAATCGGATTGGACTTCTTTTCCCGAGTAGTTCCTGCGACACCTGTTGAGCTTTTTTTTATTTTATTTTGCCTGTACGATACATGATACATTCGTGTTCATGTACACCACTAATATCGTATAGAACTATTTTATACGGGTAACTACACTACAACCGCATTTTTTATTGCTTGTTCTGTGGCATAACTGAATTTTCGTCTTATAAATTGAAATACCTAATTAAGGGGTGGCCGAAATTTTTCTCCGCCCCGGGCGGCTAACACCCACGGTACGCCACTGCGCATCTGAACTCGTCTATCAAAAAATTGGCGCATGGTATGCAAAAGGTTGGCCACCCCTGCTATATAGCTTGGAATGGGAATCCAAACTCTAAATTATTTCCTTAAATATTTTTAGAGAAAACTAGAATCATATTTTCTAATTATTAAATTTAGTACAAAATGACACTTAATGCTATTAGTCTAAATTATGTTAATTATTGAGTAAAAATAATATATGCACCATAATTTCAGTGATTTTTTTTGGCTAATTTTGATTTGTTCTTTCCTCATACTTTCACAAAAAAACAGTATCTGCTAAAAATTGATGCATCTTAAGAGGACAGTCTTCAATCCCAAAAGTGTCTATTAAATTATAGAAACACAGTAAACTTGAAAGACAAATTCTAAAAATTATATATGGTAGAGTCCCAAAAACTCAGCCTAATGTGGAAATGGCTGAGTTTTCGGGCCATTTTGTGAAAATGCCAAGTTATCAGGAACGGGGTTAAAAAAGAATAAGTAATAGTGTTTCCTCAGAAAATACTGTACTGTACTTGTATGTATTGTTTGCTTGAGAATACAACAGAATAAACTGCTCAAATACCCTTAAACAAAAGAAAAGTACATACTTTATGAAGGCATAGAGCCTTTACTACATGAAAATGAAAATTAATGAATACACAGTGTACAGTAATTTACCTGATAAGAGAGAACTCAGAAAAATACTTTATGAGGCATAAAGCTGTCTATAATGAAAATTAACTAGCTGACTTTGCAAAAACTGGCTACTTTTGTTAAAAGAAATGCATAATGCCCTGTTGTCTTCTGCAATGCACTCTGCATTTTGCTGCTTTATCACAAAGCCGATGAAGGAACAGTAAGTCCATTACCGACACACCTTGTTGTTCAAGGTGCGTCAGAAGGGTGGTTTAGACAGCCTTTAGTCCCTCACTATGTGATATTTTAGGAGCTTGTACGGTGGAGTCCTCAACATCAACATCATTTTTCATTAACTGTGGAAGCAGCAATAATTTCTGCATCGGATATAATGTCTTGCTCGGCATCATTCTGGTACCACTGTTCGACGTCATTTTCATCAGCTTCTGCATATCCAGGAACTCTATTCAGGATGTTGAGTAAGTTTACATTTTCCGCATCATCACGTTCAACAAACTCATTTCCCTTGTGATCAAGGCGTTTTCGCCAGGAACAAACTAGTGTTAATGACTAACTCGTTCCAGGCGTCTGCCACCCAGCCAACAACATCTAATAGGTTAATTTTCCTTCAGTTCTGGATAAGACCTTGACCATCATCGTTTGCAGAAAGAAGGGAGGATAACAGCTTGCGCTGAGTTATCCGGACTGCCGGGTTACCGAGTGCAGAGTTTTCAGGACTACTGTATATAGAAACAACTAAAAAACTTATCACATACTTGTATACTTAAAAGATTATAATAATCAAATAATCATTCACTTTTGTTTGTGAAACTGAAGTATTAATTTTTTAAATCAGAACAATACAAGATGTTTCAAAAGTTATTCTTATTATTTCTCAAAATATATAGTAAAAAATCCCTATAAGATGAAGTATATATTTATTTAAATGCCTTACAGAATTTAACCTACTTAATTATCAGTTTTCATATGACAACCATCAAGGTCTTTAGTTCCTAAAGCAATCAACAGTTTCATAGAACACACTTTAAAAGTATTTCAGGTGTTATTTTTCAAATTTTTGCAGTAATACATTCAGTTAATTAATAATTGTTCTACAATACACTTCAGATTTCATGAAACCATGCAAAAAAATGTAAAAACGTTTTAAATCAGGCAAATGAGCTGCCAATGCTTGACATTGGCAGCTCCTTTCACTGATCCATCACAATCATTTTATTAATTTCCTCTTAAAATTCTCTCTAATTATTTTGCACTTCATGCACTTTATCTTGCATGTTACCATAAGCACCCATTCTTATATATTCATCATTAATGATATGAGTTTAAAATGGAACGTTACAGCAATTGAACTTTTCTAAATGCATAAAAATTGCATTAGAAGCACATATATCATTATTCTTCTTAATGCGCCATCTCCTGTCGAAGGTTGGCGATCCATATAGCTAACGTTGTTCTCGATATAGCAGCTCGGAATATCTCCATAGATGTACATCTGAACCATTTTGTGATGTCTTTCAACCATTGATTCTTTGGTCTTCCAAGACCTTTTTCAGTTGTATTTTGCATTCTAATATTAGTCTAAGTATTTGATATTTCTCTCCTCTCATTATATGACCTATGTACTGTGTTTTCCTTATTTTGATGGTCAGCAGGAGTTCTTTTTGCTTGTTCATGCAGTTCAGGACTTCAACATTAGTAATCCTTTGCACCCATGATATTTGAAGTATTCGTCTGTACAAATATATTTCAAAAGCTTTGATTATTTTCTCAGTTTGGGGTCCAGAGTCCAACTTTCATATCCATATAGCAGGATGGAGAAGATGTAGCACCTTAACATTTGAATCCTCAGACACTCTCAATTCGGATCTAACAAAAAACTTTTTCATGTTCATAAACAATGTTCTGGCTTGTTCGATCCTTGCTCTTATTTCTTTACGCTGATCACATTGTTCATATATTATTGTGCCGAGGTATTTGAGAGATGATACTTGCTCGATAGTGTTCCCGTGAATGACAAGATTTGCACTTTCTTGTTTTTGAGAACCCAAGAAGTTTGGTTTTGGTAAAATTCATAAAGAGACCATGCAGTTCACTATACTCAACAATACGGTCCATCAGTTGTTGTAATTCTTCGGGACTACTTGCTATAACCACTGCGTCATCTTTGTATCTAATGTTGTTTATTAATTTGCCATTTACCTTGATCCCACAATTACTGTCTTCTAACACTTCCATGAACATGGCCTCTGAGTATATATTAAAGAAGAGGGAGGATAACACACAACCTTGACATACTCCTCTCTTAATTAACATGGTTTCAGAAGTTTCTTTTTCAAGTCTGACCTTTGCTATTTGATGCCAGTACAGTTCACTGATGACACGCAGACTGCCTTTGTCAATGCCAATTGATGTTAAGATCTCAATCATCTTTTGGTGATTTACACAGTCAAAAGCTTTACGATAGTCTATAAAGCGGGCGTAAACATTGGCATTCATATCTCTGCATCTTTGAACTAATACGTTTAAGCAGAAGAGTGCTTCTCATGTACCAAGCCCATTGCAAAATCCAAACTGTGTTTCATCAATATCTAGTTCATATTTCCTGTATATATCATTATTACAGTATAAAAATTATTCTAAAATATCTTTAATTTCATCAAAATAGTTAATGCCTTTTGAAACAATCTATATTTTATTTAAATTTATTGTATTACAAGCAGTATTATATGTGAGATGTAATATGATTAGAAGAATGTTAAGTTCATGTATGGACTACTGTTAATTTTGNAATGCATTTGGTAATTTGGTAATTTTTATTTTTATATGTTAAGTTTAATCAAAAATGAAATTAGCATTATTGTAATTGTAATAAAGTTAAAATTTTATGTTTGTTCAAAGTTACTTTTTTGTCTGTTGAGGTATGTTTAATTAGCACAGTTTTGGGCATGATGTCAAATAGTTAATGTTCATTTGTTTTATATATTTTTTAAATTTTTTATTACAGTGTATTATGTTGAAATTTTGTCTTTAATTTCTTATTGATATTCTATAGTTAAAAATTACTTTAAAATTTTTATGTAAATGAATGAATCTTGTATTATTTGAGAATTTTAAAAGATACTCTTTAAATAAAATGTAGTGGATAAACTAAACAGTCAGAAATTTATGGCTGCTTTTATTCAGTTACTTGCTTTGATCATTAAATAATTGACAGTAGAGAGCAGTTTTGTTTTTGTAATAGATTCATTATGCAAATTAATTTAATTAGTAAAAAGATACAACTTTTGTCCAAAGAACAAGTTGAAAATTTGGCCCATGTCTTATTTGTGAAGTTGTAATCTCCCAGCTAATGAATTCCCCAGCTTTAGTAGACTGCAGTAACCTCTACCTAGCCCAACGCTTGAATAAAATTGTTATTATTTTAAAAATTATTATATCTTAAATAAAGTAATTGTACTTACTTGGTGGTATTGTGTTATAGCTCCAATATGTGGTGTTATAATTACCTGTGTATATAAGCAATTAATATATTAAGTACATTTTATGTAATTTAATCTTGTTTTAAAATAATATCTTACTTCTGGTGTTTTCCAAAGTGGATTATCTGATGGCAATGGCTCTGTTTGAAATACATCTAATACTGCTCTTGAAATCCATTTTTCACTAAAAATGTAATTTATAACTTAATTTAACAGAATTNGATGATATTAACCTGATGTTGTCTTGTAGTTTTTCTTTTCAGTCTAATTGTCACGCGTTATATTGTTGTATTAATTTGTTTTTTTTTGTAGTGTTATTTACTACAGTTTGTAATTTCAGTTATAAGAGCCCGTACATACAGGGCTTTCCCTTGTGCTAAATAAATAATAATAATAAAAAAATAATAAAATAATAAATTTATTGTATTCATGAAAAATATTTCAAATTTGGTTTTATGCCAATTCAGCTTGAATAAAATTGTTATTATTTTAAAAATTATTATATCTTAAATAAAGTAATTGTACTTACTTGGTGGTATTGTGTTATAGCTCCAATATGTGGTGTTATAATTACCTGTGTATATAAGCAATTAATATATTAAGTACATTTTATGTAATTTAATCTTGTTTTAAAATAATATCTTACTTCTGGTGTTTTCCAAAGTGGATTATCTGATGGCAATGGCTCTGTTTGAAATACATCTAATACTGCTCTTGAAATCCATTTTTCACTAAAAATGTAATTTATAACTTAATTTAACAGAATTGAACAGAATTAAATGAACAGAATTACTTATCATTTGAAAAATTTAACAATTGAATTTTATGTAATATGTTAATTGTTTAACAATAATATCCTAAAATTACTGTAAAATTCTCAAAACATTTTTTTTGGTAACTTTTTTACATCAGGTACTTATTTTATTTTACTAGTCATCACAGCCTCAACTAAATATTAAAATCATTTCATTTTTATTGTAAAAGTGTTACAAAATTTCAAATACTTTTCCTTGACTGTATTCTCCAAAATCATTATTATTATTTGATTTTCTTTTACATTTATGATAAGAAATGTTAGCAAAACAAAATTTATTAATATAAATTCATAAAATACATTTTACTTTCCTAGGTGTTTACAATACTTTCCTATGTTGTGTTATATCTTATCATAATTGACTTTCCAGGTTTCTTGCAAATTTTAATGTTTTGAGACCCTCTGAATCCAAAAAAATAAAAAAAATAATAAAAATTTGTGCACATCATGTGTCAGCATTGAATATGTAAGGATGAGATAAAGTAATACACTTTGATGATGATGATACTTGTATACTGTCATTTTCATCATTTGAATTCATTAAATTACAATGGTCTTATGATGGAATGAAAACATTCCGAAAATATATTTTATTAAATGAAAAGTTAATATTTTCTGACTTCTTGAAAACTTGAGTAACTGATTTGTTAATCATGTTATCCAAAATTGATTTTCTATGTTTACTTCAGATATATGAAAACATTTTAAGTAAAAATAAAATATTAATCATATCTCACTTCAAGGCATGAATTAAATCTGCTTCTTTAATAATATCACCTCTTCCAATATTTATGAAAACCGGTTTCTATAAAATTAAGAATATTTCAATATAAATATCATAAACAACATGTAATTAAATCAAAAAATTCTAAAATAGTTTTTTCTTATATATAAATTAATATACTTATATACTAAAAAATTATTATAAATAAGGTTGAAGCAGTTAAAATGATAAGAATGATATTGTTAAAGTAAATTTATTAAAATGACAGAATGTGAACTAAAAAACTAGAAATCCATTTTTTAAAAACAAAATGTAGTGTAAACAAAAACATTCAACCTCTTTTATTCAAAATGTCTTACATCAGTCAACTAGCCATCTACATTTTAATATTTGAAAAAGTTTTATTATGTAAGAAAATCACAACAACACCAAAATCCAGCAAGAAAGAAAGAAATAAATAAAAGGAAAGAACACTGATAAAACTAACGTTTTCAACTAACTTTAATCAGCTATTATCAGATTTATATTGAAAATATCATTGAACATAAGATAGAATATTTAAATACTGTACTTAACAAACAATAATAATATTGAAATCCCAATTGAAGAATCATTCTTTTTAATCAAATTTATAGATTCCATTTTATGTTTGATGATATTTTCATTATAAACCTGATGATGGCTGATAACATCAGTCGAAAACATTAAGAAAGAATACTTTAATAACACTTTTAGGTTTTGCTGGATTTTGGTATTGTGATTCCTTACTTATTCATCCAGCTCCTGTTTTTAGTTTTATTATGATTCAATAACAATTTGAAAATGATAGCCCATAAAAATTTAATATTTGTTTTGATGATTAGCTTGCCAAAAGATATTTAACTAACTTTTGGTATACTAATCATCAAAACAAGTATGAACTTTCATTTTCAACATTTTACTGAATCATCTTAAAACTTTTCAAATATTAAAATATGCCAAATGAACAGCTGGATTCTTTATCAATCTATAAGGCTAAATAATTATTAAGCAATTTGGCAGAAAGTAGGCCACAAGGTTGCCACTAAAAGTTAAATATAATACAGTAGAGCGTCGATTTTCCGAATCAATTGGGGACTGGGGTTGTTCGTATAACTGATATTTCGGATAACCGATTTATGTACAAAAAAATAGTTTAACGTATCTGATGTTGAAATTTTTCTTTGTTGCGTGTCGCTTTGCATTGAATTTTCGTCGATGTTAAGCCTAACAAAGACTATTGTATCGTTAAAAATTATTTTTTTATTTTGTACAAACAAAATAAATATATTGAAAAATATAAAAACAATAAAAAATTATACTTCAGATGTTAATTTAGTATCAAAAACGTAAAATATTTGAGTAGCCCAAGACATAGCCAAAGATTGAAGCTCCACAGCACTGGTGAAAATTTAAATTTGCCAACTGGAAACCTTTCGGATGATTGACTTTCGGAAAATCGACGCTCTACTGTAATTATAAATAAATTAAGTAACAAATTGGCAGTCTGCTTCATGCCAAATTGCTTAGTGATTATTTAGCCTTATAGTCCAGTAAAGAATTTGGCTGTTCATTTGGTATTTGAAATAACTATTGGGTCAGTTGTATTTATTATATACAGTGAAATTCCATTAACACGACATCCAGTATGCCAGCAAACTGATAGCCTGGCATGTCCAGCTCATCTTTGGGGGGAGTGTATTGGTACACTGGATATTCTGTATTTACACATAACTAAGTAAACAGTTAATTAACACTAAAAATAATTAATTTAAATTTAAAATTTAAAACTCTGGCCTTTATACCAAAACAAAAACCAAACCAAATGATAGCAAATTTATAGCCCGATTAATTGTGATTATTAATTATTACATATTAAGTAATCTGGTATTAGAGATAGACATTATTAATTTAGATAAGAGATGGTGCCTAATTATAATTTTTTATAATTTATTAAATAATCTAGAACTGTCTGGAAAAAAAAAGAACTAGTACAGAGTGGGATTTTAACCCACAACCTCTGCTTATTGTGCAGTGTACTTGCCAGTTATGCCACCAGGACCTCTGACCTGGTGGCATAACAGGCCACCAGGACACTCTGCTTCCATGCATATTTAAACTAGATATATAACTATATGTGGTTTCTTCCAGACTATTCTAAATTATTTAATACATTATTAAAAATTATAATTATTAATTTAGATAAGACATAGCACCTAACTTTTACCTCGAATACCAAATCACTTAAATCATTAATAATAGCAAATTTAGAGTCTGATTAATTATGGCAATTGTTTGGTTTAGTATTAATATAGATATAGAATATAGAGTAGATAAAGATAAAAGTATACAAAGCACAAAATAAGATTCTAGTTAGTGTGTTCTTGTTTGAAACCTCTGGTAGGAATAATCTGGAAAAATTGAAATGACATGTAAACAATTATAAAAGGTGGATTTGTACAGTTTTACATGTGAAGATATGTAAAATTGTGTCCAGGTTATCGAAAAAAAACCAGGAAAAAAATTCCATCATCCAATAAGTTGTCGTATTCAATAATCCGGCACTACATTGGTCCCAACATGCCGGGTTAATGGAACATCAATTCAATCAATACAGATGGCCAGTCAACTGAGGCAATTAAGACATAAGCCTACTGCTTTGGTGGACATGGAATTTAATCTGGGCAAACCCAGAATTTCATAGGTAGTCTGTCACATATGTCAAGCCTCATCCTACTAGCCAGACATCTGTGTTGTGAGTTCAACCAGGCTCACAAGAGAGATGGCTGGCTAGTAAAGGACGAGGCTTGACATAGACAGACTACACATGGGTGTGGAAAAAAGGCTCTCTTGCCTATAAGATGAATAAACAAAAAAGTATATAGTGTTAGAATATAGGTTAGTCTAAAAATCAGTTAACAGATACAGTGCTGTAACTAGCTTTTCATATGCCCTGTGCTGGATTTTATTTTTTGGTTTCTTCTGTGTTGGAAAAAATATATTAAAACAAAAACCAAATATGATAGGAATGATTAGTTCTTGTAACTTTAACAAAAAAAAACATTATGGAATCATCCTGCATGGCCACAAAATTTAAAAATATAATATTGATCATTTTTGATTCTCCATTTTAGGGCCCTCTTTGTCCTGAGCCCAAGCATCTGTATCTGTTTAGTGCCATAACTAGGCAGGTGTAACAAAGTATTTTATTTTAGGAACAGTTAAAATTAGTTTAAAATACATGCTTATTTTTATTTATGACACAGTTGCTTCCAGCATGGCAACTAACATATCTCAGTTAACTGAGTTTTGGGGCGCCCTGTATTTAAATAAATGCTCAATTTTCAAAATACCTTTAAACATTTTTGTAAAGTATTTCCATTTAATAATCCTTTTGTTTCTGATGTACTTGGTAACACATTACAAATATAATCACACTGTTTCAACAATTCTGAAATATCTGTAAAAATGCTGAAAAATATTTAGTTGAATACTTTTTTAAAAATCTTTCATACAATAATATATTAAAAATAATTACACAATACCAAACATTAAAAATTTACTTATCAAAACTTCCAAATTCTTCAACTGTTCTTGGATGTTTTGCAAATCCATAAACAATAGATCCTCTTTGTTTAAGAAATTTGGCAACTAAAACATATTCAACAAATAAATGACAAATATAAATTGTTAACAATACGATATGTACTGTACAGTATATAAACAGTTGTTTATACACTGTACTGTATATGTCAATTATCATCATAATTCTTTCCTTTATTACTGATATATAACTGCCTATCAGATGAAAAGAACAGAAGATAAATTAGGCAAATGAGGGGAAAATTCCAATATTGATAATTAGCCTCTAAACTAAAAATTGGATTAAGATGACAAACTCAATGAATAGCCTTTATAAGCAACACAAACTTATAATCACTAATGTTTTTGGTGATTTAATGACCTTCAGGTAACAAATAAAATGTTCTACCATGTAATTTATTCATTCTATCTGTTTTTGGTATATTTTACATTTGTTCACTGTTATATTATGTTTTTATTTTTGTAATTTTATTCCTACATTTATTCATTTTTGATTTTTAAATGGTTTTTGTTTTAATTTTAATTTGAAGTTGTACAGCACTCTGCTATTCTAAACATTTATGTTATGCTCTACCATTTGATTTTTGTATATTGTTCAATTTCTTCAATGTTGCCTGAAGGTGGTAGGTCATTAAAAGTCGCCAAAATGTTAGTGATTAAAAGTTTTTGTATTGCTTATAAAAGTTATCTGTTGAGTTTATTATCTTATGTAGCAATATTTAATTGAAATTGAATTAAGATGACAAATTAATAAGTTACATATTGCTTATATGATTGCTCAACAAAATGTAATAAAATTTATTATGTTGCTGTTATTTAAGAAGTCATTTCTAATTAACATTCTCAAAGCCGAGATGTAAAGTTAAATTTCAAATTCATAACTGTTTTGGTTTAATATAAATAACAATACAGTAGAACCTTGATTATCCAGACTAATTGGGGATGAAGGTAATCCAGATAAGGGAAAAATTCAGATAATCGAAACAAATACTTTAATTTGTCTTTTAATGATAATACAACACGTTTTCTTTTCAATGACATATCAGTAATATTAAAAGTAAATACTGTATTTAAACCGTAATCAAATTTTCAAGAAACAAACGTTCGTATTGAATTTGTACTATACTGACCAACGCTAACAGACTACCTATTGTTTAAAAGGCCCTCTGGTAGCGCAAGAAGACGGATTTTATAAAATAAAAAGCAGTTGAAACTGCATTTTTATGAATAAAAATTTGACAAACTATTTATCGTTTTATGACGAGTAAAATTTTTTCGTCGCGTTCACGGCTTTTAAGTAATGCATAAACCTTCGAGGCGCGAGGCCCTTCGGACCGCGAGGCATAGGCGGTGGCCCACGTCGTCCATGCCTTACGCCGCCCTTGGTCATAGAAATGATGTAATTTGAATATAAATTATTTATAAATATGTATGTCAAGTTATATTTTTATTATTACGTAAAATATATTTAAGAGTTTACGACCACTGTGCTGGGTGAGACGTTGTTGAAACAAAAAAAGTTATGCATTCCATCACGTACATAAACAGTGTCGTAATTCGCCAAGTGCAAATCAGCAAATTCGTAAAATTTTTGCTTATTTTGAACAATCCGGATAATCGAAAATCCGGATAATAGAGGTCCGGATAATCGAGGTTCTACTGTATTTCAATTCAGATAGAAATTAAAAGAAAAGAAAAAAAAATTAAACAGATGAAATAGCAACTAGAAATTATTATTTAAGTCAGTCAGCTTTCAAAATGTTAATGATTTTTTTCAAAATGTTTTATCTGGTTATGTATCTTGAACAAAATAAATGCAGCTCATAAGAACTATAGGTTTATATCATAATGTTTTATGTATTAAACTACTAGCATAGACAAGGGGATTAGAAGCTACAGCCTCAAAAAAGAATAAATTTTAATAAAATAAAATGTAAAATGCATTTTAAATAAAAAAATTATATCAGTATTACAGTTCAAAATATTTTTTCTATATAAAATGAGAGATTTTCACATTCCCAATCTGACTGGATTTCACTTATTTCAGTAATAGCTTTTTGTGTATCACTCTAGCCAAGCATACTTTTCTTGCCTCCCTTACATTACCTCTATATATTTTTTTTCTTTCTTTTCCTTAAATTAAATATCTCATTCTCTCAACTATTATAGCCACTTTTACCTAGACCTGCACTTCTCAAATTTACCATTCACAGAGTCTGTTTATACTTTCTTTGCCATAATCTCATTCATTCTCTCTACATTTCCAAACCAATGAAGTAAAATAAAACAAACACCTTTCTCTATTCCAGCACAACCTTTAATGCGTTAAAAACGTTTGACTGTTTTAAGTGATCATTTGAACTGAAGATGATTGCTTAAAACAGTCAAAAACGTTTTTAACGCATTAAAGGTTGTGCTGGAATAGAGAAAGGGGTTTGTTTATTTTATTTAATTAATTCCAGTAAGCATTTATTTATTTAAACCAATGAAGTGCTGATTTATTCATTTTTCACAAATATTTTCTTTCACTTTGTACTCTTGAAAGAGTACAAATTATATATATATTATAATTTTCAGAGATCCACCAAAAAAAATCTCTCTTCCAATTGTCTCTAGTTTGTTTGTTGCAGCTTTTTGGATGATGGGAACTTCCACAAGTTGTGGTTTAAGCTTCAGTTTCAACTTGAGAAATACAAAATAGTTTGGAGGGGACAAGTCTGATGAGTAATGGGGTGATAAGGGACAAGAATTCTTTTTCATGTAAAAAGTTTATGTATGCTTGCAGTTTAGATGCAGTTTCCTCTACTTCTATATGATTACAATGATGTCCTGACAAAACATGGCTATCTTCTCTTAGCTCAGTTGTCAAAAGCTTATTTATTTACTTATTTTATACATAATTAGGAACTGTCAGCCAACAAAAAGATATCCATTCTGCAAATTAACAAAAGCCCCAACAATAAATTACAGTTAAAACCAAAAAACAGAGAATAAAAAAACATGAATTATGAAATAACACAGTATATGTTAATACATTAGTTAATGCATGCAAAATTTATAAAAATTTATTTAAAAAATATAGTGAAGACAATAAAATTAAGCATGTGGAATAAAACAAGCACATATCTTTCTCTTCCTCAAATCTTTACTTAAAATGTGAAGAACAGTTTTGGGGATGTTCAAAGTTTCAGTTATTACATATGATGTTATTTGGCAATTGTTCTTCACCAATTCATTGATGGCAACACAACATTTTCTTTTGTTCAAAGTCAATGTGCATTGACCACTTTTCTCATCATCTACCAATCTAAACATATAAAATTACTTGTCCTGACTGATTCATCATTGCCCAGAGCAAACCACTGAACCTAGCCTAAACAGGTATGAAATTTAGTACACAGTTAGGGTACATCATGAAAATGCACACTAAGGAATTTTTAGAAATTCCTCCCACGGGAGAGGGAGAGGATCAAGGCTTAACCTGAAGAACGGCTTGTACTGTACTATTTTACATGCAATTTTTTGTTTTCAACTACGTTTAGTCTTCATTGAGTACTTAGGTGTATTAAATTGATAACATTTCAGACACTGTTATAAATATTTTTATATATTTTGATTTTTTAACCAAGTGTTTGAACCGTTTTAAATTCAAATTTCTTATTGCATATTGGTTCGATTATAGAATGATTGTAAACATTCCAGAAAATTGATCAAATTGAAAATAGTTTGTTTGATTCTCAGCAGTAGGTGTTATATAACAATTACTATGGTTGTTGAAATACTGAATATAAATGGGGTTTGCTTGCAAAATCCGTACATGCGAAGTCGCGGGTAACAGCTAGTTCTGTCATAAAACTATGAACACCATCTGAAGCACTAGACACATTACCATAAACCTTTTGTACCAGTTTTATGGTTTTTGTAGAAATATCAACCTTAAAACGAAACTTAAATCACAGTTTTCTGGTCAATTTTAAATCCATGACAAAGCAACAGAAACTTTGCAACACGTACTAGTGACACTGCAAATGAACAGACAATATTGATAACAGTAATCCACAAAACCTTTTTATAACAGTGTTGTGTCCGTAACAATCTTCACAAACGTTTTTGACCTCAACCGAGGTCTTCTTCAGGTGGTGACTAAACAGTCTGTCTTCCTGACTGTTGAAACGATGATGCCCGAGATATAAATAATGCGCGTATTGCGTTTCACCCCTCCGCTTGCCCCAGTTCGAATTCTTCAAGTAAGTATTTCCACACCTGCACAATCATCTCTCCGTCTTTAAAGTTGATGCAGGTGCCCCCAATGTTGGCTTTATAAATTTCCCAGGCCTCCAGGCATTTCATATTGATCACATCCGTGATCAATACAAAACGCCTGTCTGATTACTTTGGTGTTTTGGAAGTCTGCCTAAATTTCAGGATCAGTAACGTAGGCCAACAAGGTGGTGGTGTGCCTGTTATTTTGAATACCTGATTGATGCTCACGTAACCATTTTTGTGTTGAGTGGATGGTGGAGCCAATGTAAACAGTCTCTATGGAATCTATTATCCCTGATGGGAATGGAGTATATTCCTGGGGCCCTGTTGAGATCTATCGCGTCCTTGGCATTGCGCAGCAGGTTGTAAATAGTGCCGGTTCTCCTGTACGTGATCTTTGTGCAGTTATGGCAAGCACACTCCCTATATAGGGGGTCTAAATGTTGGTTGAACCAGACGATCGCATGTCTATCGTTCTTAATGGGTTGGTGGCCACTGTCCGGCATATGCAGGGGGCCGCCACTGCGGTGTGGGGGACGGTTGGCATAGGCACGGGCTAAACCGCAAATCATGCCTTTACTGTAGCCATGCTCAACCGCAATTTTTTCTATGTGGCGGAGTTCTAACCGGGTGTTGCGAGCATTTGTGTGGTGCATGAAGGTCCATCTGATAAGGGCACGAAAGGCCGCAATTTTGTAGGCAAAGGGGTCGGACGAGTTTGCGGGGATGAAAAGTGGAAGCTGGTCTGGTTTACGGTAAACGGTCGTTTCTATCTTGCCACCCCTGAGACATATGTCAACATCTAGAAAATGTGCACACAAGTTGTTTACTTGATCTAAGCCAAGGGTGAGGCCATAAGCATTTGTCATTCATTCACGACAAAAACTCGTCGAGATTCGGTGTGGTTTTCCAAAGTATAACGATGTCATCCATGTATCTTTAGTATAGACTGATGTCTGGTAAAAATTTGGGCAATACTCTCTCCTCTAACTGTCTTACCACCAGCTCGTAAAGGTCCCCCAATAGTGGGCTGCCCATGGNAGTATAGACTGATGTCTGGTAAAAATTTGGGCAATACTCTCTCCTCTAACTGTCTTACCACCAGCTCGTAAAGGTCCCCCAATAGTGGGCTGCCCATGGGCACACCCCGTCTTTATAAGTAAGTAGTTTTGTTGAACTGGAAAACTGAGGTGTAACACATTAGATGTGCCAGCTCTAATATCTGCCGACGATGCCAGAATGCATCATTCTCGCAAAGTAAAAGGTCCCTAAGGGTGCAGAAGCATGACTGCAGCCGTATCAACGGGAAAAGGGACATGAAATCAAAGACCGTGAAGTGCAGGTCGTCACCCACATCGACTCGTTGTAACAACTCAACAAAAGCAGCGGAATTAGTGGTAGAAAACTTATAACCCTTCAAATGCTCAGCGGCGATGTAGTAAACAGCCTTCTCGAGCAGCCTCGTTGGGGACCTAGCTTTATCCAGGACAGGCCTAAGTGATTCAATGCAGTGTTAAGATTAGAAGTCGTTTTGCAATAGTTGATATTATTTAATTAGCATGCTGGCTGAAATATCACTACACTATTGGTATGGAAAAAAATTAAGTTCACTTTTTATGGACTACATTGTCTAACATGATTATATCTCATCATACCTTATATATTTCACAAGTAATGCATGTTACACTGCTTATGAGATCTACAAGAGCATAAATTTAAATTATAGTAGTCAAATACAGTGGTGCCTCTTATAACATACTTAATCTGTTTCAGGTGCATGTCCGTTAAGTGAAAAGTCCGTTATACGAAATGCATTTTCCCATAGAAATACATGTTAAAACATATAATTTGTTCCGCAGCATAAAATAACCGTACCATAAAAAAAATGAAAATAGAACAGTCACCAATTATGCCAGGTAGTCAGATGTTGTGAGGAGGTGGAGGAACACTTTTTTCACACATTCGTACAGATACAGACTTTTTACACATTGCAGCAGGTCTCTTTCTTGTTTTTTAATCGGAATCAGCTTCAGGAGAGGCTACCGGAGCTTGCAGGGTCATCTCCTCTTGTTCCATCCTTTGTTTTTTGGCAGATTGCTTCTTGAAAAACATGTCCAAGGTGGTCTGTTTCTCTCTCTTCTTCAACACCTGTCGGAAATGACGGGCAGGGGTGTCATTGTAGAGATCACTGATCCTGTTGGCCTCAGCTCTGTTTGGATAATAAGTGTTGGTAAACTCCCAAACCTCTCCTCATTTGACAAGGAAGTTTTTGTCAAATTTCACTCCTTCTGATGATTTCTTGCTTTGTTTCAATTGAAATCATCTGTTTTTTTAGAAGCCTTGATTTGCACAATACTTGAATAAATGTAAATACCCTGCACTGAGGTGATGTACTGCATGTAATAAACAAGGGAGTAAGCTGAATTCCAATGGGAGCTCTATACTTCAGATATACTAATAATATATTATTATTATAAAAATAGCAGAGTGTCATTGGCAACGGCAGAAGAGTGGAAACATCATTCGCACTTATTCACAGAAAGTCCGTTGCTCGAGTCACGTAACGGCCAAACAGAAAGTCCGTTGCTCGAGTCACGTAACGGCCAAACAGAAAGTCCGTTGCTCGAGTCACGTAACGGCCAAACAGAAAGTCCGTTGTTCGCAGCGTCCGTTATACGAGGCACCACTGTATTTGTTAGCCCCTGCTAGACTTAATTCCTGGCTATACTACTTGCATTAAAAAATTTTATTGTTTTTTGAAAGTTCTCTTAAATTAATTTATATAAAAACAACTAATTTAGGAAAGTTATTTAAATATAATACCTCTTTTTCCTATAGCCCCAACTCCTAAAATTCCAACAGTAAGATTTTCCAGTAATCGACCTCTCTCTATTTTTCTAAGAGTCCTGTATAAAAATAAAATATTTAAATGCTAATGCATGTTAAAAATAAGTATATTTTTAAATAACTTATATTTAACTATAAAATATTTTAAAGAAAACAAAAAAAAATTAATTGTAATTTATACATTTCAGTTCTACATGGGCAGGTATGTACAGTACTGGTACATATGGTAAAGCGAAGTTATCTATCACATGGAACAAAAAAAATCTACACTGTGATGTTATTTTTTTTATAAAAAATTAATCTAAACCAAACTAATAAACCAATAATGTGGAAAGCATGCAATTTTATATTGACAGTATACATCTTTTTGTATTCCTCATAGCATGTATGAATGAAGAAAGCAAAGGCAGACATTTTATCATGGGGATTATGGCCATACTTGCCCAATTTTTAATCTGGAGATTTGATAGTGTGAATACCAGTAACGTTTTTGTTTTATTTTTTACCAAATTATTTTTTTATGTATACAAATCTTTTTGCCAAAAAAGATATCTTGGACATTCTATAATATAAAATGGGAGATTCAAATTTCAATTTAATCAAATAATATAGATTCTATATTATTTGGATCTCCCTAAATTAAATCTAAAAATTGAATCTCCCTAAATTGAAATTTGAATCTCCCATTCTATATTATAGAATGTCCAAGATATCTTTTTGCTTAGGTTTTTAGGCTTAGATTGCTTTTTGCTTAGATTCAAATAATATAGAATCTATATTATTTGAATCTAAGCAAAAACAACTAACCTAAGCAACTGCCTAATCAATACCACATCAAAAAGAAGTATCAAATGAAAATGTTTTACAATGTTTCAGAATATAATTACTATTCTTTGTTCTCAATATAACAACCATCTTGTTATAACTGAATATATATAACTAAAATATTAGATGACAAGTATAATCACGAGTTAAGATAAAAATTTATCTTAAATGGTGTCAGACTCAACAGGAGGGAATTATGATTCCCTTACCTCCAACTATAAACAGAGGAAACAAGCCATCCAGTGACAACTGAGTGGGCCTAACCGACCTGACACTACCACTTGGTGATAAGACCAACACCTATGCAAGGCAGCTTCTCGCACAGATCAATTCCAAAGGATCTATGAAACATTCAGATGGTATCTGGTAATTTGGTATATTTTTAGGAAAATAAATACATAAAAAGGATTTCACTATAGAAACATTGATAGAAAATGAATAAAAAAAAAGCTGGCAAGGGCTGTTGCTTGACTTTTGAGCACTTGAAGGGATTAACCTGTAGCATACTATTCTTTGAAATCAGTTTGATTAACATTGTGGCTTTTAAAAACCTATTTTAAATATTAGCATCCACTAATTTGCCTTCCTATTAATATGATATTTAGTTCCTAGATGGCCTAGACCAGTGTTTCTCAACCTCTAATGAATCGTCGCCCACTTCAAAGTAGTATTGCCCCCTTCAATAAAACCGTTACGTAGTATCGCCTCCTTCACTTCAAAATTCCGATGCCCAGGGCCAAGGCTAACGCCAAATTCGTACTGCATCGAATAGACTAGTGACTAGTATAATGTTTTTTGTTTAATTATTGTACGATATAATGAATAAAATATCTAATTATTCTTAATATAATGTTTTACTATATCGCCCAGAAAATTGTTTTTCGCCCCCAAAATATAAATTATTACTAATCGCCCCCTCAACGTGGAAAAACACCCACATGGGGGTGATATCGCCCCCGTTGAGAAACACTGGCCTAGACTTAGTTATAAAGTTATAATGATAAAATCTTAATCAAGAATTTAATAAAATACTTTGCTATTCAGAAAAATTTTCAAGTTTTATTCAGAGTATTTCATAAAGCATAATTGAAGATTGGGAAGAAAAAACAAATAATAATAATAATAATACCATTTATTTTCTTTCTGATCATCCCACATTTCATAAAATTTTCTTTCATTGATTATAATTTGTGCTATAATATATTCAGCCATATAATCAGCAAATCCTTCATTTCCAAGTTTAGTAAAAATAAACTTTGGAAGCTATAAAAAAATTTTTTTATTTAAATAAGTAGCTTATTAATTTATAATAATTTGTTTATTTCATTTTTATGCTTACTTTACTTTTATCAAAATTTTGAAAGATAGCTTCAACTCCTGAAATTAAAATTATACATTACTTTTACATAGCTTATATTCAAATAATATAGGAAAAAATCTATAAAATTTCATTTTTTTAAACTTATTTGAGTTTCAAATATGATAAATGAAAATACTGAAAAATATTTTGAATGTTTTTTTTTAAAAACATTCGAAATATATATTAAGTATTTGATATTTTAAAGAAAAATTTAGACATATTTAAAGTCATTAAGAAATTCTAAATTAGAATTTATAAAAACACAAAAGTACAGTCTCTAGTAATCAAGACTCATTTATCAAAAGGTTCTTTATTATCCAAGGTGAATTTGGAGGCATATTTTGTCAATAAAAACAAGGAAAATTACAGTATAGTTTGTTTCATGAAATTTTGGCTGCGTAAGGTACAGTATTCAAAAGCAGTTCTAGAAGTTTTAAAAATAATGTATTCTGATGACTTCTCATGATAATTTTTAAAAACAGTTTTAAAAAATTTAAATCATAAATCATAGATTTACATTTTCATTATATAATTTAAAAAAACTATTTATTAAAAAAATAACAACATGTGTAGAAAAACTAGAAACAAAGATACCAAATCACACTACACCTTACACATTTTTCCAGCACTGGTTTAATCAAAGCAAACTTTTTCAACCCTGTTCAGGAGGTTAAAAACATATTAAATACAAAATTAAAGAAAAGAACTGAGTTATAATGGTTATAGTTATACCATTAGTTTTAAATTTACAAAATTCAAAACGTTTTTTATGTTTTATGTAGAAGTCTGTGTGAACCCCTTTTATGTTTTATGTTTTATGTACACAAACAAATAATTTATGTAGTTTTAAAATGAAAACATTAAAATAAAATTTAAAAAATAAAATAATTATACATGTTAACAAAAGTTTTTTAAGTTAAGCCTGCTGTTCTCTTGCCTCATTGAGTTATCAACTAGAGACTGCCATGCTTTGGATAACATTTTTCTCCTTGAAATTAATGCATTCACTCATTCTAATATTTGGAATATTTCAAAAGCTTCCATTGATCATAACTTGTTAACATCAAACAACTCTTTTAACCCAAGGCAGACCTATGAATGGGGTCGAAACATTTGTTTTGATTAAATTAGTGGTGTCAAAGTATAGAGAGTGATTGGTATTAAAGAAATATTTTTTAATTTTCTTTACAAGTCATTATTTTAGGTTAGATCTAATTATTGAATATAATTTAATGTGTATGACATAATCTATTAAATTAAACTGAATTTATATTATACATTATATTATATTATACATTAATCAAACATTCTGTTATCCAAATTTTTGATTATTGAGAACTGTACACAATATACATTACTTTAGATAAATCAAAACTCTACTAACTTATACTGCTATGTCAAAATTTTACTAAAAAGATAAAATACAATATTTTCATGCATATAATCCATGATGGCATATAAACAGCAGAAAAATGCTAGAATGAAAACAAAACTACATAACTCACACCACTATATACCTTGCATCTATGAGAACAGCGATTGCCATTACAAATTCATACATATCTGATTTTTAAATTTCTCTATAGAACTCACATCCAAAAGACATCTTGCAGAACCAAAAACAACTAACTCCAGTAAATAATCATGGACAGAAGGACTGTTTTTGATCTCTACCATGGATGATCTTCAGATGATTCCAATTCAAAACCTTTCATCTTCTCACCCTTTTTTCCACCCTTGCCACTTTATTTCCTTTCTTTTTTTTTTATTAAGGACCAATCGAAAAAAGCCTCTCCTCTCAGCAATATTTCCAGCTGTGCACTTTGAGGGATTGAGCTGAATACTATAATACTTGCCCTATACATCAGACAAAAAAAGAAATCATGAGTAGAAATGAAAAAAGGTGAAATTTAGAGTTCTGTTAACAAAGAGATAAAAGAAGAAAGAAGAGAGATGAGAAAAAAGAATGAAGAAAGAAGGAAAGAAAGAGAAACAAGTGCACATATAACAATTATATCATAAAAATGATATAACTGTTACAAAATAAACTAATTTTAAAGTAACAAGACAGTAATTTCATATTTATAATAATTTATGGAACATTAAACTATCTAGTAGAGAAGAAGCAAATCTATCTCAATTAAATATTTTTAGACATTAATATTAGAATTCCAGTTTAAAAATTAAGAAGTAAAACACAGAAATTAGGAGATAAAGTTAAAGTTAGACCTTTAATAACTAGCAAATTAGGTCGTTTAAATAATAGAAAAATATTTAAAAATTAATGTATGAAATAAAATAGAATAGTTGAAATATAGCATACATAATACAGATATGTTATTAATATTTTACTTAATTTGTTTATTAACAGAAAAACTAAAATTTATAAGACTGGATACTGTATTAGTTCAATATATGCATCAATAACAAGAAAAATAGTTTATGATGCATTAAAAAGAAGAAATAAATGAATGAAAAATAGAACTAATGAAATTTGTATGCACAAACAGATGGAATTGATATGGGCAGTGTAATAGGTCTGAAACTAGCTGAAATAGTTACAAAACCAATTGATGAAAAAAGAAATAAAATTAAAGGTATCATTTGTTATTCCCGTTATGTAGATGATATATTAATATTATACAATAATGAAATAATTAAAGATATTTGTTTCTTCTAATATTTCTATAAAATAGTCATATAAACTTTGAACTAGAAATAAAAAAATTAATAAAAATCAATAAGTTGTTTGGATATTAATATAAGGAGAAAAAATCATAGTATAGTGTTTGAAAAAACTTATAAAAAAAGTAATATAGAAAAAAGTTAAGTTATTCATATTTTCCTAATTATATTAAAAAAACAATTTTATAACAGAACAAGAAAATTTTTGCCATACAACTTTAAACCAAGATATAGAAAACAATGTTAAAAAACTTTTAGGGAATATTTGCTTAATGATTATCCTTAAAAAAATGGCAGGATGAATATGAAAAAAAATAGATATTATGTAAAAAATAAAAAATTGGATAAAAGATAATCCTTTAATGTACAAAAATTTATAAAATTTATTTGAAGAACAAAACAAAAAATTTTAACAAGTAGGACATAAACTAGTACCCATATTAACCAACAAACTAAAATTTACAGGTAGGAAAAAAAACCAAAATAAAGAAGACTAATTCAGTGGATGTAGTATATAAATTAGGTGTAATTGTAATAATAATAAAGGAATTTATATAGGAGAAACATATAGACAACTTAAGATTAGAGTGAAACAACATTTAGCAGCACTAAGACTACAACACCATTGGTTGCCTTGGATAAAACATCAAAAATGCAAATGTATAATAGACCAAAGATAATATTAAAATAATAGCATTTGAAAAAAATAGTAAAAAGAAAAATAAGGAAACATTTTGCTATTGTGAAAGAAATTAAAAAACAAAGATGTAAATTTACTAAGTTTAAATACATGTATAAATGTGTCACCAGAGGCGGCCTTAGGGGGTGGCGAGCAGGGCAATCGCCCAGGGCCTCGCGCAAAAACCAAGTAGAAAAAAGTTGATATTTAAAACTTTTTATTTTATCCTTGGCTATTAGTTATAACAATAAAATAAATTTAATTCATAGTACAGTATATATTAATATTAATAAGTGCCTACTATTTCAATTCACATACTTTGCACAAAGGACAAGGGCCTCGCAAAGATCTGCCACCCAGAGCCTCACAATGGATAAGGCCGCCGCTGCACCAGAGTGCTGTACAATTATAGATGTCACAGAAACAAGAATGTGATTGTTGTGGAAAGAATACATTGTAAAATACCAATTGTAAGTTTTTTAAAAAATATGTTGCCTTTTATAATTTTTGCTCTTCTTTTTTGAGATATTTATTTGTTTATAGGCTAAACTTAATCCTATAAAAGTACAGTACTGATGAGGATTGGGGGAGATCAAAATGCTTATATGAGAAAAATAATAAAATTAATAACAGTTTTAATTTTCTTTATTTAAATGTCTACTAGGACAAATCATATAGACCAGTAGTTCTTAGCCTTTTTAGTGGTAAGCACCCCTTGAATATGAAAATAAGCTTTTGCACTCCCTTAAAAAATGCATGTGTATATTTTTTATTTAAGAAAATACATTTATTGCATAAACAAAATGCCATGTTTATTTACAATATATATTATTATATAACATAAAAAGCAATATTTAAATTTTAATGGCTAGGTTGTTGTTGTTTATTCATAATAATTCTATTAAAAACGAGGCTCTTTTTTTGAAAGAGCCACGCATAAATCATCAGATGCATTTAAGCAATTTCTGGCTTTTGTTCTGATGTGCAAAAGTGCTGTATTCAAGGTATGCAAACATGTCTCAACTAGTTTCTGTACTGCATGTGACAATGTGACTACATTAACTGCATGTACTGATGACTGATGACAAGTGCTATGTGCTGAGAGATGGTAGAGTAGAGAGTGTAGAAGTGGGAGTGCTGTATTGCTGGGTGCCATGGTTTGTAGAGAACACGGTTGCCTCGTTCATATTTTTTTTTTATTTAAATTTTTGAAATTTCTCTAACACCCCTGGAAACCTCTCTCACACCTCCAGGGGTGCATGCACCCTTGGAGGTGTGAGAGTTAAGTTAAGAACTGCTGATATAGACAGTTCATATAGGACAGATCTACTAGGACTTATTATACTGGTGTCCAAGTCCTGCAAAATGAGGAAACGTATCCAGAGAAAGAAGGAAAAAAAAATGTGCGCTGTTATAAAAGCCTAATGTTTCCATGTTTGGTGTATTATATGCAGTATTATGCTTGTGTAAGAAAGGAGTACAGACATTCATTCTCATATGTTTTACTACATGAACAAATTGAATACTTTACTAAAATTTTTCTCAGTATATATTTTGTAGACAGTTATTGTGTGTGTGTGTGTGTGTGTGTGTGTGTGTGTTTGAAATAGCTATTGTTATTATTTAATAAACAACACAAATGAAGCAATATGA